ATTCTAGAATTTGTATCCAACATTCTATAATTCGTATTCAACATTCTAGAATTTGTATTCAACATTCTAGAATTGTCATTTTATATTCTAGAATTTGTATTCAACATTCTAGAATCTGTATTCAACATTCTAGAACTGTCATTTAACATTCTAGAATTTTCATTCAATATTCTAGAATTTGTATTCAACATTCTAGAATTTGCATTCAACATTCTAGAACTGTCATTTAACATTCTAGAATTTTCATTCAACATTCTAGAATTGTCATTTTATATTCCAGAATTTGTATTCAACATTCTAGAATTTTCATTCAACATTCTAGAATTTGTATCCAACATTCTAGAATTTGTATCCAACATTCTAGAATTTGTATTCAACATTCTAGAATTGTCATTTTATATTCTAGAATCTGTATTCAACATTCTAGAACTGTCATTTAACATTCTAGAATTTTCATTCAATATTCTAGAATTTGTATTCAACATTCTAGAATCTGTATTCAACATTCTAGAACTGTCATTTCACATTCTAGAATTTGCATTCAACATTCTAGAACTGTCATTTAAAATTCTAGAATTTGTATTCAACATTCTAGAATTCGTATTTCAACATTCTAGAATTCGTATTTCAACATTCTAGAATTGTCATTTTATATTCTAGAATTTGTATTCAACATTCTAGAATTTGTATTCAACATTCTAGAATCTGTATTCAACATTCTAGAACTGTCATTTACAATTCTAGAATTTGTTTTCAACATTCTAGAATTGTCTTTTTATATTTTAGAATTTGTATTCAACATTCTAGAATTGTCATTTTATATTCCAGAATTTGTATTCAACATTCTAGAATTTTCATTCAACATTCTAGAATTCGTATTCAACATTCTAGAATTTGTATTCAACATTCTAGAATTTGTTCAGGTCAGTTTACATGGACCCCCTTGAAAAGGAGAAGGTTTTATCTTAAACTAATACAATTTCAATATATGATTGGTGAAGCAGAAGTCAGTCGATGCCAGGAGGGCTTTGCTTATACTGTGGTGGTGACAAAACAATGTTAGAGATGCTTCTACTTCTAAGTCTGTCTTGTCATTGAAACGCTTGTGTCTGTAGACCTATCGGATTACGTGTCTGATAGGACCCAGCTATAAGATTATGATAATCTAACATATTTTGGCGAGATCCTTTAAAAAAACTACAACCGTGATACTAATCGAGCTTCAAATGTTTTTATAAGTAATAATCACTAGGACGAAGATATTGCGCAAATCATTAAGTGACATTTAAACTTAAAGCTGATTTTTTGTATCTTCCTTTTCAATGCTTCATACTGTGTGTTTGTAGAAGCTCAAACTGAAATATAATGTGAAATATTGCCTTTGCAGTCACAACAACCCTTATGCTGCGTTCACACCGGACGCGATGCGAATATTCGCTTCGCTCTTATCGCATCGCTCTAAACGCTCAAGTTTCACCGCGGCTGTCAGCTGTGTTTACTCGCATCATTCATACAAGACACGCTGCCTAGGGGGCTACAACTACAACAAAATGAACATATTTTACCGTGATTTAATTGTAATACACATTTCAAAATGATGCCGAAGTAAAAACATACTGATACCAGTTAGTAAAAACCCTGAATTAATGCTTTGACAAGTCTGCAGACAAGACGGCAGGCGAAAAACCTTTTAAGATGTGTGTTTTCTGAATGGAGATTGGATCGATCAGGCTAAGCTAACGTTGTATATGCTCCGACCGTCCACACTCACAACAATGGCCTATACAGACATAAATAAACCAGTGACTGTATTCACCATGACACAGAGAGTCTGTGGTTTGTACTTGTTTAACTTTTGTCTAGTTTCTGAACAGATATGAGGAGCTGTGAGCTCTGAGGGTTAACAGCTAACGGCTGATGTTGGTTTTGTGGTTCAACTTCAGTGACGGCAGGCTGAAATCCTCACCGCTAATTGGCTACCGCGAGATCGCGTCACCCGAATTTGACGCTCGAGTTGAAAAAATTGAACTTGAGCATTTGTCGCGGCCCCCTTCAATTGCCTCAATCGCGCCGCGGCATTCGCATCAACCGCTTCATGCGCGCCGTCGGAGCGAATTTGCGTCTGTCCGCGTCTCTGCATTGACTCTACATGTAATCGCGCCGCCCCCAAAAATCGCATCGCGTCCGGTGTGAACGCAGCATTAGAGTTAAACGCTCCGCTCTTTATTTCTATGACAACAGTGCCAAAGGTGCTATGGTGACCATCCTTATTTCTTACAATTGAAGACTTGTATCAGATCCCCACGGCATATGGCTTCACAGAGTCCTTTATTCTCACAGCCAGCTGCAGCACACTAGCTCCCAAGGGAACGTGAAGGCGTATCATGTGGTGCATTGGGTCTGAGTGTAAAGTATATGTGTGTGTGTGTGTATTTGGATGTATGATTGTGTGTGTTTGCGATTGCATGCATCCATTTAGGTGAGCCAGGTGTCTAGTGGCGCGTTTCCACTACAGCGCGGAGCACGGTTTAAGAGGGCTGTGACGTCAGCGGCCCGTCTTTGGTTGCGTTTCCACTTGGCCTAGTACCGGCCGGCGGGTCCTAATTCACAGTTTTTCTGGCCTCATAAAATTGCGGGTCTAGGGCCAGAGACAACGAGGCTGAGTCGGGCTGAGTCGGGCTGAGTCGGGCTGAGCATGCTAAACTAGAGAGAGCATCGCTGGCAAGGGGGCTACAACTACAACAAGATGAACATATTTGACCGTGATTTAATTGTAATACACGTTTCAAAATGATGCCGAAGTAACAACATACTGATACCGGTTAGTAAAAACCATGAATTAATGCTTTGACAAGTCTGCAGACAGACGGCAGGCGAAAAACCTTTTAAAATGCGTGTTTTCTAAATGGAGATTGGCTAAGCTAACGCAGTATATGCTCCGACCGTCCACACTCACAACAACGGCCTATACAGACATAAATAAAGCAGCGACTGTACATGACACAGGCAGTCTGTGGTTTGTACTTGTTTAACTTTTGTCTAGTTTCTGAACATATATGAGGAGCTGTGAGCTCTGAGTGCTAACAGCTAACGGCTGTGTTGTTTTTCTGGGGTTCTCATTGAAGATCACGTCACGGCTCCGCCTACACTGCGTTACTATAGATACTACCCCAGTTCCTAAACTGTAATGGAAATGCGCCATAAAGTGAGCCAGTCCTAACGAGGCCCAGCCATACCGAGCGGGGCCGAGCGAGGCCGTGTAGTGGAAACGCGCCATAGGTGGACTAACTCATGAGGACAGAGTAGGATGCAATATACAACTATCCCGTCTCATTTTTCCTTCTCTTTCTCCAGGCAAGCCAATACAATAACTTAAAAGAGATACAAAGAAACTCCTTTCTGCACTAAGCAATCTTTTTTGTCTGCTCTTGAAATTATGCAGGTTCTGATTTGCTTCAAAAAACGTTTTCCGTCCTTAACAACTTAACCTGGTTTCTTGGTTTCAGCCAATAAACACATTACATTACAGACATTGCTGTAGTTTCTCACCTTGTTTGCATTGCTTGGTAAAACAATTCAAATAGCATGTAGGACGATTGAGCCAAGCATGTCCTTTGCGCTACTCTAAATAAGTAATGCAAATGAAAATCTCAGTAATCTCACATGACCTGGAAATTACACTGTGTTGTGTGAGTGTCACAGAAATGTAATAAATTCCAATACTTAAAGGGGGCATATCAAGCTCATTTCTGGATTCAAACTAGGGCTTCTACTAGCACATGGTGACATGCTTTAATGTTCAAAAGCCACATTTTTTTCTCACACTGTCGTTCTGATACCTGTATTTACCCTCTGTCTGAAACGCTACGTTTTAATGAGCCTGCATGTGACATAAGCAGGGGAGACAAATGTTAAATGCTTGTAGAATCCTGTTTTCTAATCTAGGCAGCCCACAAAAAACTGCGAAACAAGACAACCTAGTCTTATTCACAGTCTGTGGGTTGGTAGGCACTCGAGAAACACAAATCTACAGTATGTGCAAGTGTGATTTTTCTTTGTCAGAGGGAATATCATTACAGCAACCAAATGAGATGCACACCCACGTTTCCCAACATGCCCATGACCTCCCTTTGCCGAGAAATTCGCTTGAGTTCTTCTTCATCCTCCATGTGACATAATCCGTTTCCATGTCTTCGATTTCATTTGATTATCCTCTCATCACACACACACGAAAATCCCTCTGATGTGTCAAGTTAAATACTGACAGCTTTCGTCCCTCTTATGAACCAAATAATTAACCCTTGTGTTGCCTGGTTGCACAGAGATGCTGTTGCTCTTTTTGTTCAAGGAATTTTTTCATTGTCCTGTGAGATAATTAGGTTTCGGGTCAAATGTATAGAAGTATGTGGACATCTCTCATATCGGAGACGAGATAAAGGAGCTACATCTCAAAAGGTTTTCAGATAATAACAAACACGGCTTGCCTTATTGAAGAGTTCCTGACACCATTTCCTTTCATAAAATCAATCACGGGGTCTTATGGAAATGGTATTACTGTGTCTATGTTACTTTGGTATTCAGAAAGGTGCATTTTGAATCAGGTGAATGAGATCTAGAGCATGTAATTGGTTGTTTTTGACCTCGTACTGGATGTTGCGGTGGGGAAAATGAAAGATCAGGTGTAAAATGTTGTATATTTCACGGCCAGGAAGGGCAGCTGAAATTACAATTACAGTTTGATCGGAGAGAGCTCGCAAATGTTATATTGTCCATGCACATTGTCTAGTTGCTAAGCCTAGTGTGATTTCATTTAGTAATAAAAGCTGTAGTCTCAATGTTAATGTTTGATGACCTGATGTGTGGTTCCCTTCCCTCCACAGAATTGCAATGCGTACACTTTTTCATGTCTGTTCTGTTTTGTCGGACTGCTTTCACTCTTCGTATTATTTCACATGCCTTATGTCTAAAGCTGTTCCTTCTCCTGTCCCTTTTTCCTACAGTGTGGCAAAGGAGCAGAGAACTTTGACAAGTTCTTCACACGCACCCAGCCCCAGCTCACACCTCCAGATGAGCTGGTCATCGCCAACATCGACCAGGCCGAGTTTTCTGGGTTCTCTTTCATCAACCCGCAGTTTGTGCAACCGGTGGTCATTAACAGCATATGAGAAGGAAGGGGAGACCTCCCTGAAGAACTTCCCTGCTCACTGCCACCTACTTAAAGCAACTGCCAATATACCGTCTGACCACAACTTGATCAAGGCCCTCTGTAATCCTTTATGTATTACTTTTATTTTAAGCATCGCTCTGGGGCATGCATTTTTTGTTCTCTACAATATATATGCCAGTATAGATTAGATTGGTTCTGAGCCATCAAAATAATGTATTTACTTCAGGTTAGTGATGAGCATGTACTGTAGACAAGGGGGTCTTTCTCTACAGCTGCAATCTGTATTGAAGGTTACCCAATCAGGAGACAGAAGAGTGTCTGGCTTAATTTATCTCTGCCAGTATATGATGACATTTAAAGATGAAATTAGACTTGGGCTAAAATAGGATTAGATAGCATTTAAGGCATGGATTCTTTACTGGACTTATTCTGGAAAAGGTTTAGATGCTTACAAATATCAATTGATAACATTATGGTCTACAGATCTAGTTGCTTGGTCACGATTGACTTCCATATGGATAACTATCACAATATAGATACAATGTAATGACCCGAAATACACTCACATGAGGCAGTGCAGACACTATAGCCAAATATGAAGGACAGGTGGAGCAGGCGTCGGAACAGCTCCTCGAGATTCAATGTTTCCTGTATCGTGTTTACAGTTTTCTTCCCTTTTGATTTCCTTGTGATAGTATACATTTATATTTTACTACAATTAGATTTTTAGCAAGTCTAAACAAGTCTTCAAGTGTGCGTAGCAAAGAATCCACTAAAGAATGAACAGTTGCGTAATTAGATAATATGCAGCCTGTAAAATAATCAATTATGTCAGACACATAGGTATGAAAGTGTGTCAGGCTTTGTTTTCATTCTTAATCTTCTTAGCTTAAAGGTAGGGTAGGTAAGTTTGAGAAACCGGCTCGAGATACACTTTTTGTTATATTCCATGGAATGCTCTTAACATCCCGATAGCAATGAATATCTTAAGTGCTTTGACAAAAAATCCATAAAGAAATGTCATCTGTGGAAGCCGTAGTACTGTAAAAAGCACGACCAATCATTTTAGCCGGCCCGGCTAAAATAACTGGATGGCCTACCTGCCTGTCAGCCTTCCATCTGTGCACAAACTTATCTCGTGCCCTCATTGGTCATGTGCGCGTTCGTGTGTGTTGGAGGAGGGGCTCTATAAGGAAGTGGCAGATGTTCTCCGGTTGTGTATTTTCAAATTCTAGCGATCTCGAGCCGGTTTCTCAAACTTACCTACCCCACCTTTAACCTCATTTTACCTGCTTTTTAAAATGACTAATGAATCGTTTTGCCCTGACCTTAGCTGCAAATTGTATACTTGCATTGTCAATAATTCTGTGGACACTATGTGGACAGACAATAATCTGTTTAGTTTGCGGGTAGCGGTAGAAAGTTAATATACCTTAGGTAAAAAATTAAACCTGAAACGTTTACAGTTTGTCAAGATTTAACACAGTGTTAACCACTGTCTCTATCCCATAACTACAAAGCCCCCCATTGGTCTTACATGTACCAACATTTTGCTAAACTGTTATTTGTTTGTAGAATATAACATATCATTGTGTGCTACCCATCTAATGTTATATCGCATACAGTCTCATGCTTCCAAGCATAGATAAAACACATGGTCAGTTTTCGATACAGAAGATGCAAATATATTGGAGCATTTCCTCTGACACTTTGTTGTCCTAAGAACAGACACAATCTTCATTTGGAGATTGTCAACATAATCGTGTTTAGATAAATCAATTCTTTGCATCCCTTTTATTATCATTTATGTATTCAAAAATATAATGTACTTTACTCTCCTCTTCTTTTGTGATCTCAGACATATTTTCCCATTAGATCAGATTACAATCTGTATAGTATCATTGCATAACTCCTTTGTAAATAATCATTAGTTATTCAAAAGAGTATAGAGAGTTACAGTTTTTATACCAACACCCGAATGTGCTTTTATTACATTAATTATATATACCAATATTTGTATATCTAAAGAAAAAGTAACCCAGTACAGATCAACTTTGTAACAGCTGGATGTCTTTAAAAGAGTCCAGATTTAACAAGTTGTGTAATAGATCGGTTCTACTTGTTCTTTCCAGATTAATCAAAACGTTAATTTTATTTATTCATATTCAATGGTTTCGACTGCAGATTGTCTGTTTGTTGGATGCGTGTCTGGCCGTTGACTGTCCTTCTGTATCTGCATGCTCTTACTGTAGTAAGCATTTTTCACGCACGTTATCCGCTATACGCATGCTACGAAGTATAAAACATCTACAAGTTACAGAACAACCCCAAAGTAATGCTCCACTCAAAACCTTTAGAGGTAAGAGTCTCCAACTGAACTCTCAAAAGATTGCAACAAGTTAAACCTATGGGAGGTGAATCGTTAATACTCAAAAGATAGATTTTAGGTGAAGTAACACTGGTTTCAAAGCTACAGATTGGCAAATGTGGCCAATACAAAAACCACAGTCGGGTACCTTAAGAGTGCTGATCTTAGACCAGCCAGAATTATTAACAGGTGATTGCAGTAGTTTGTAACTACTCTGCGGACCATTTACGCGTCATGTTTAAATAACAGATTCTTGTAACAGTGATTTTGCCAAAATAATACAGATCTCCAGTGAAGATGGAGTCAACATTTATTAAAGATTATCAATCTCCGCAAATAGATACTAATACTAAAATCTAGTTTTAAATGACTTTCCTAAAACATAGTCCTTGATTCTGTGTTTCTTTCTGTGGAAGCTTGATGTATGTTCATTTGTATGGCCCCTGTTTCTTTTTGCCTTTACCTTTCTTAAGGCGATGTGGCATCCAGGTCTGGGCGACTTTTGAGTCAGACTCACTGCTCGTTGCTAATTCTGTGAATCCACTCGCTCTCTTGTCTCATGAATGGGTTTTATGTAATAATCTTAATGTTGTGTTGATGTCACTTTTTAAAATGTCTTTAATTTTGCTTTTAATGTTCGTTGCTGTCAGTGTTGTCCATTTTATTTCTCTAGCTTCTGCTCAGAAATTCAGGAATGTGTAAAAGGATATATCACATTATAAAACTCATCTAAATGCGATAGATAGGAAGCGTTTGTAATAGTGTATCCATGTTTTTCTAAGAGTTATGCTTCCTACCTTGTTTCCTATATAACCTTTTTTGCATGTGCCAAACCTGGAAGATGCCAGAACCCGACAATAGCAGCGTTGCACTAGCTGTAGTCACATGGATGACTTCTTCTTTGTGGCAGCTTCTCCCCGTTTGGGCTGAGACCTGCCTAAAGCCACCTGCTGTACACTCTGTTGGCCACACATCATATAGCATGCTGCCATGAGTGCACATTGTGTCAGTACGCTTTACAATGCCAGTCAGTTTGATCAAGGACTCCTCATACACCCGAGTAGATTTGACTTCCTCTCTAGCCTTGGGCAGAATTGTGTCTGGAAAACATTTGATTTAACATCTGCCGTGAATTTCACTGGTGTGAGAGAAAATATACCTTGTACATACAGACACATCCTTGTCTAACTTGAACCTATATGTGCTGACTTAATAGACCCATCCCTTTAATAGAATCTCTGATTACTTGCTTCCCAAACTTCATTGTGTAATGTATTAAAAAGTCACAGTCAGTGTGGGCATGAAACAAAGACTACTTACTCTCCCCGTGTGTGCCTTTCCCGACTTCAACAGATGTACCGCACATCATCATCCTGAACTCTCTACTGTTTACTCCATACCTTTACTCCACTTCTTAATTTGCTCCGTTTTTACCTTGTGTTATGCCATGTAAGTGTTTTCAGCACATCTCCCAGATGAATCAATGTGAATAAGTAAAAAAGAGGGGAAAAAACATTGCACGCTTGGTTTACATAAATGTTCCATGATCTGGTCTGTAAATCTGAATTTGAAGCACATTTCTTTTGACTGACGCCAACAAATTTACAGCCATAAAAAAAATCTACAACTTGACTTCTCCTCCTGTGTCTGCCTGCTTTACCTTTACCTCCCTGTGCCTATTAATGACTGAATTATGTAGTGACTTCATTCATATGTGTATCGACAATATCAAAGGTTGATCATGGGGAGTGATGGAACAATGAACAGGTGATTGACGGGGATTAGATACATTAACGAAAGATAAGATGGTGATGGCTTGTTTGAAGGATGACCCCTGTGCCTCGTCCTATATGAACCGACCCCCCCCCCTTGTCTTTTCTTGTACGCCCTCTTTCTCTCTACTTGTTCCTCCTTCCACAGTGCCTGGGCCAAGTCAACCCGTCATATTATCGACAGTGTGCTCCTCCTTTCACCCTTTAAATCCCTTCAGGTCAGGAAAGTAGTCGCTTTTTCTTGTTCTATTCACTCTAAACCTCCATATCACCATTTCTGCGCTCTACTGGGAAAGGAGATAGCCAAATGTATTTCACTTTGTTTACAATGTATTAGATGTCCTCACCTTTTTGTTTTTATTTTAATTAATAAGGATTGGCAGAAAATAATTAACTTTCTGATGTAAAGGTTTTAAGAGAGAGGGATTTGTATCTTGAATTGGCATTTCTTACTATTCTCCTTTTAGGTACATGTTTCCTTCAAATGTCTTTCTTTGTTTTTGTAGTTTGTCATTGCTCCATTGTCTCCTGTTTGCTGTGTAATCAGAGAGTTGAGGTGAGCTTTTATCTTTTTGGATTTACAGAGGATCAGTGATGTGCAGGAATGCCTTTTCCCTTAGTCCATACAGTAACATGGCCTCTAATTCTCCCGTCGTGGTTCATTAGATATCTCAGCACCCCTGTCTTTGTACATAATTGACTTACAGTAGATACATAGACTGTAAAAGAAAGAATATATTGTATTTTGCAAATGGTGTATGTCTGTTTCCTTCCCTGTCAGCCTGAAACCTTTAAAACTGAGTCTGAGCTTCTTACCTTGTAACTAAATGTGTCATTTGTACCTAATGTATGATAATGCAAATAAAAATAAAAGGAAAATTAATGTATGTATTTACCTTTTTACCACATTGTTGCATTAATCTTATATTTAGCAAAAGTTTGATTTCATTATACAGTAGATCAGCCATTGCACTAGCAAAGTATTGCTATTAATAAAAGTGGTACTGTACTAAATATATTTTTTAACTGAAGCAAACATGTTTTGTTTTGGTGGAACAGTAAGGATCGCAGTTCTATAGCAATATAATGTAACAGATGGTGTCAATGATTCTCCTACAGTATTTTTGTGTTAGGTCTTTGCTAACATACTTTATTTGTTACAAAACGGATAAACAGTTACATTTGTTTTTCTTGGGTTTGACACTGGCTCAGTGTATGATAGACTATAATGCCCAAAGAAAAAAGACAGTACAAAACCGTTTGCATTTCCAATTATTGTATACATCTTTTGAATAGTTTCCTCCAAACTTGACCTCTGTTCCATTAAAAAAAAATGTAAACAATGGCTAACCAGCACTTTAGCTTCATGCTACCGACTGATAATGTCCTAAAAAGTTTTATTTAGGTTGTACGACACTTAAAGTTTACAGTCCTTGCTCTACTGTATAATATCAGATAGCCCATAGTTAGCCCATATGTGATAAACGTTTTATATTGCACCAGGAAAAAACATTTCATTTGTAAAAAAGAAGCCTTGATTACAATGTGTTACTTACATTTAAAACTATATTTATTCACTCCTGTGGTGTAATATTGTAATGTCATGTACGTGCAGTACAGAATAATTGAACTTCTTCTCATTATTAGAGAAAGCCCTGCAGTGTGTTTACTAAACCAGCTGGCTTGTGTGAGCTTTTGTTTATCGACCTATATGTTTCAGGCCACTGGTTTCTCTCGTTCCTCCTCTACAAACACATATAAACACACAGGCAACGTGTAAACACATCTTCAGCATCTCTTCATCTGTTATGAAACCGCTAAGTCGAATAAAAACATGTTGTCCTGTTATGAGAGCTTGTCTAACCTTATATAAAAACAGCGGCCCAACAAAAAGCCGCCTTCAAAATAAAAGCATAAACTCTAATTAACTTAAATAATGATGCTGACATTACTCCATAGAAAACAGCAATAACATGAGTGTTAAACCATTAAATGATACAAATAATGGAGCCAAAGCATATTCGTAAAATTATGATGTCAAAAACTAAATCCAAATTGAGACCATGATAGACTGGAACTCTCGATTTCAAACATTTGTTGGCTGTTAAATTGCACAATGAACCTTTCTGGGCATTCGTTGTTCTGAATATCATACACAACCAGGGGCATATTGTTTCATTTGTTTTTATTTTATAACTTATTTTTGCTTCACGTTGCTCTGGTAAGCAATGGCTTATTCTTTCTCAACTACCTGAATGATGCCAGGAGGGTGTATGTTTGAGATTAGTGTTCAGCCTGAAAAGCAGAGAAGAAATAGCAAAACAGAGAATTCGTGCACTTCTACAGTACACAGAAATGAAATGTGTGAGAAATAGTCTTCTGAGGGAAGAGATGATGACCTGATTGCCTTCCTGTGAGGTCACTAAGAGGTTATGTGAAAGGCCAAGTCAGAGCCAAGCTGATGGCAGCCTCTTCCTTCGCCCTGCATATCTGATTGGTTGGGAACAGAATGTGGTGGTTATTCATACTCAAGCAACGGTTTCACCAGATGCTCCTAAATGACTGTTTGAATGTCCATATGGTCGGAGATGGTTTGTGTTGAATTTCTCCGCAGCAGCTCAGTCTCTTGAAAACATGATGAAAAGCTAACATAAAACCAACACATTTAACAATTAGCTTGGTTTATTAATTTGGTACACTCCATGCTTTATTTTTCCTATAACTGTTTTCTGCAAATAAAAAGGGTTCCTGGTCCCATGTGTAAACATGTGAGTGTGAACACATCCAGTATGAACCAGATGTTAAATAGTTAATAATTAATCATTTATTTTGGAATGCAAATTAGAACCAAAGCCACAGAATGATTCTGTTGAAGGCTCTTTTTTCTCTTTCTTTTTCTTTGATAGAACATAGCCTTTATTTTTCCAAAGGCTTATTAACTCCAGGCACAGTTTCTGTCTCAATGGGGAAGCCAATTCAAAGGGGCAGAAACACAAGGCAAGAATGTGAGGACATTTTTAAAAAGCAAACATAAAAAGGCCTGTTGTTAGAGTCAGTGTTAACGCTCATTATCATGTGTCTTCCTACTGCAATCCATTTTTAGAAGCATACAAAGCCATTACTGCTGAGTTACTATAGCAATTGAAAGCTGGCTGAATGTTGTGATATAATAATATAACTTTGTACATGAGCTAATGGTGGCCATCAGGATCTGGCAGTTTTGGCTAGTAATCCACCTTCATTTTTAACATGCATGCATTATATCCATTGACATTTTCACATGTAATTGCAGTAACTTAACCTATTAAAAACACTTGGGGGGAAAACACCTGAATTATTGTGCTCAGTTTTTACAAATACAAAAGGGGTTAGAGTTACTAATGTTGTGCATGTTAGGAACGTATGTAAGTGGGTAGACTAAAGTCACATTCCCTGATATCAAAAGCAGCTCAGTGTTGCAAACCAGACTCCTAAACCTATAACTTGAGTAAACGTGGTGCCTTTAGGGCTGAAACTACACACTAATTCACTGTTTTACCAAAGCACATGCAAGGAGCCTCTTCTCTCTGCATTTGAGGACTGGTGGGGTGTTTGCCGCCCACGTGCCACGCGCCACGCGCACGCGGGTAGTGCTGTCTTGGGTAGTAGTGGTGCGCGAGCTACGCAGCCACGGGTCCTTTTCGTTTCACAGGCTTATCGCGCGCCAAACCAGTCAACACGGAGCGAGGGAGAAACTATAGGAGAGGATAAAGGAAGAGAAACTGTGCTCTCCTCGACGAGTCTTCTTCGTTAAGGTAAAACGTAATTTAATCTTTGTTTATCTAAAGATTCAATTTACAGACGACATTTTGACCAGAGAGACACGCTGTTGATATGGTTTGCAGATAACAATGAATGGTGTTGTCGTTGTTGTTGTTGTTGGTTTTTAATGCTCTTATATTACGCTTTATACAAGTTAAAATTAGGCTTGTTTCCACAATTAAATAGGGCAAAAAAAGACAATTTACTTGCATTCTCGGAAGCTTCTACCAACTTACATCACTCACTTTACCCACAGTTCTATGTTAAGAGTCGAGTTTACTCGTAATAAACACTTTAGATACAGTAAATGTGATATGCTATTTGAGATATGCATTGTTGTTTAAACAAAGAAAAGTGGTGAGCTACAAGTAGGCTTTAGGAGGAGAGAACATGGAAAGACGGATGGTAAGACTTCGAACGAAATAAACGTGCACCCTACGTTTACTTTGGATATTTCAGTGCCAATAAACGGGTGTTACGATAAGTTCCTCCAATACATTTTTATGTAAAACACGCTCAATGTAGTTTTACTGTTTCGCCTCAGTGAGTGGTTCAGCACCGCGGAGAGCGACTGGAGCTCCCAAACATTAAAGGGCAGGCGCAACAAACGGCTGGCTCTGTATACTTCGAACAGGATATAGCCAACAAAAGAGACTTCAACACACACTGATACCACTCACCACAAATAACAATGATGTATTCGTTTTAAATTGTCTGAAAACGAACGACAAAACAAGGAAAATACACACATTAGGAAGGACACTGCCACACTATATATATGTTTTATTAATAACCATTAACTGTTGACATTTCTTTGAATTTTTTGTAATCTGATCATTATACGAACGTCTTGAAAGTGATCTGAAATCAAACAATGGTAAATAAGTAGCTCCCGACTAAAATCCTTGCCACAGGGAGTCAGCCAAACAAACAGCCTACTGTTATATCACACATTTAGACAGAGATGGTGTGGGCTGCAGGAGAAAATGGTTTCTATAGCCACGGTTCACTACAAGCTGGCAACTCAAACCCTCTCTGGAGGAGAGTTGTTGTTTACTTGTTGCAGTGAGACAGACGTGTTTGTCCGTGTTATCTGTCTTTATATTGTAGAACTTTAGACTGTGACTCAAAGACAGAGAAATTATACTTTTGTATTTCATCCAACTCCAAAAGGTGCACATTTTAATATAAAGACCATTGACCTGCATGTAAACCTTGCTCTTTTTGTTTTTGCATTTCACTGACGTTACAGGCTTTCATCTGTATACAGAATCTTATCCATGTTGTCATTGTCACAATGGCTAAACTACTGTCTTTGACCATTTTGTTTTTTAGTTGTAATCTTTGGTGTGCAAGGCTTTGTGTAGCTTTACATTCAAGTCATAGTGTTCAGGTTTTCAAATATTCAACGTGCGACAAACTTGTGTTAAAAAGAGCTGTACAGTGCCCACATTCATTTCAATCATCCCGTTTTGTTCCAGTTTTCCTCCAATGTTGTGTCTGGTTGACTCAGCAGAGCCACTGTTTGCAGTTTACTCCTGCAAAAGCAAACCCAGCCATAAGTCATCAGTAATAAGGCTGAAACAATTTGTTTACATTGAGAAACATTAAGTAACCTGTTTAATATCACATAATGTCAACATTAGTTTATGTCACTGAGATGTAATGTGAGAGAATATATGAAGCATTATCAGACGTTGCTCTTTCATTTTCCATTCTTAACCCATTTGTAACTTTACTCACTACTTCTAAGATGTATATAAAGCAAGCCAAACAGTAAACAAAATGTGTTAAGTGTAGTTAAGAGTAAATAAGTATTTCCTGTAGCCTCAGCTCCCCATTGGCTCTGGTTCCAGTTATCACTCAGGCACCAAGGAACATCCTCATGGTAATATCCTCAAAAAACTAACAGTGCTCTCTAGTGATCACAGCTGAGAGAGGATCTCAGTTTTCAAACACTTTGAAATGTGACAGGTAACAATGATCCACTTTTTAGTTTAAATTTAGATTGGTTATAAATAATACTGTCTCTGCAGTCCTCAAGACATTTTACACAGTTCCTCTGGATGACGAATCATGATGAAGC